CAAAGTTGGAGGAATAATGCTACCTGATACCAATCTATATTACAAGGCCATAGTAATTGAAACAGCCTGGTACTAGCATAAAAACAGAGACAGAGATCAATGGAAAAGAGTAGAGAGCCCAGAAATAAACCCTATACCTTTACTGTCAATTAATATTTGACAAAGAAGGCAAGAACATACAATGGGGTAAAAGTCTATTCAATAAGCAGTGTTTGGAAAACTGGACAAATACACGCAAAAAAAATGAAACTAGACCACTATCTTACACCATACACAAGACTCAAAACCACAAAATTCCTAGAAGTAAAATCTCATAGGCAGTTAAAATCTCAGACATTTCTCACAGAAATATTTTTTTCTTATGTATCTCCTTGGGAAAGTTAACAAAAGGAAAAAATAAATAGATGGGAGTACATCAAACTAAAATGCTTTGCACAGCAAAGGAAACCATAACAAAATGAAAGACAACCTACTGAATGGGAGAAATATTTGCTAATGATAATAATTAATAAAGGGTTAATATCCAAAATTTATAAAGAACTTAACTCAGTATCAAAAAACACCCCCCCAAATCCAATTAAAAAATGGACAAAGGACATGAGTAAACACTTCTCCAAAGAGGACATACAGATGGCCAATAGACATATGAAAAGATGCTCAAAGTCACTAATCATCAGAAAAACAGATATTAAAACCACAGTGAGGTATGAGTTCATACTTGTTAGAAGAGTTCTCATCAATAAAACCAGAAGAACAAGTGCTGGAGAGGATGCATAGAAAAGGGAACCTTCGTGCGCTGCTGGTGGGAATGCAGACTGGTGCAGCGATGGTAGAAAGCAGTACGGAGTTACCTCAAAAAATTTAAAATGGAACTAGCTTATTACCTAGTGATTTCTCTTCTGGGAATATATCCAAAAAAGCCCAAAACACTAGTTCAAAAGAATATATGCAACCCTATGTTCTTTGCAGCAGCCAAGATTTGGAAGCAGCTCAAATGCCCATTCGTAGATTTTTTAAAAGCTGTGTATATTTACACAACGAAATACTACTTGGCCATAAAAAAAAAAAAAATCTTGCGTTTTGCAGCAGCATGGATAGACCTAGAAAGTATTATGCTAAATGAAATCTAATGAACAAAATAAACTAACAAACAAAATAGAAATAGAGTCACAGAAACAGAGAACAGACTGACAACTGTCAGAGGGGAGGGAATTGGGTGAAAAAGGTGAAGGGATTAAGTGTAAAAAAAAAAATCATAAACAGCATGGTAATTACCAGAGGGAAAAGGAGTAGGGGGAAGGTAGGAGAAGGTAAAAAGGGGATAAATGGTGATGAAAGGAGACTTGACTTGGGGTAGTGAACACACAATACAATATACAGATAATGCATTATAGAACGGTGTACCTGAAACTGATATAGTATTATTAACGAATGTCACCCCAATAAATTCAGTAAAGATTAAGAAATTATCTTACTCTTCTAAAATACTATCACAACCAAATTAGAAATACAACAAAACCAAAAGAAAAATCACTGAAACAACCTCTCTACTACAATGAGGCCAAAAATCTTCCCACCTGGCTGACAGAGGCAAAAATGTATCAAAACTAATGAACCCAGAACTAACTGATTACTTATTAAAAACATAATAGTTCTGTAATTATGTAAAACATAATAGTTCTGTCAAATGATAAAAGCTATTAGAATAGAAGGTGACCTGTGAGACTGTGAAATTAACTGGCCTTAACAATCTAGTTTTTAGCTATTCTTCAAAAATTTTTCTATGTTATCCCTCCAACTAGGTAAACCTATCTCTCAGATTCCAAATTCTAGACAATGGCAATTCTATTAACCCTGAAAGTGGAAAACAAGGTGTAAAAAGACATGAATAGACTCCCTGGGGCCATGCATCCATCTCTGCGAGGGCTTCTTGAATGCTAACCTCTCAGATACTCTCTTCTTCATAATATTCACGCTGGTGGGGATAAGATTCATCCCTCAGCCTCTACTGTCCCTTATCAAAGGACATTTGAATAAATAACTATTTGACTTCTTCTTTGTGCTTAGTATGGGGGGAAGAGACAGACAGACACACATACCCCCTCTAGAAGAGAACAGGGAAGCCTGATAAATCAGGGGGAGAAAAGCAGCTATATGCTAAAGTGTACTCAAGTCAGCTCTGAAATTCACTCAAGTGTGTGGCTCACTGCCTAAACCAACACATACATCTGGTAATAATAAACACTGATAAGTCATAAACAGAAAGGGCTTTCTTAATTCAAAGACTCTACAAACTATTGGTAACATTAAAAGTTACATAAAACAATCAAACAACTTGTGTAAAATAAGGTTTTCTAAAATAGTATTTCAATTTCAGTTAGTAAGAAATGAAAAACTTTTGGTATTTCACTGCCTAGTCTTGAAAAGACTAAGAAGCCAGTATCTTTCAATTAATCAAGTTACAAATCTGTTTTCAGTAGAGAGAAAAAAAAACATATTGCCTCTGTTTAATGCAAAGGACAAAAAAGACCATCACTGCAAATCATAATGTTTGGGTTCATGATGAAAACAGGAAACAGACAGGCTGCCCAGGTATAATTATGGTTATAGTCTAATGTGCCTTCAGGTTCAGCCAAGAATTAAAGCCCAGTGAAGAGGGTAAGCAGAATCTTACATGCCTCTACCTTGCAACAGAAGGCAACTTTTAATAATACTCCCAGGAACATGTTACATAACCAACAGTAAACAACCATCTGATTCAAACTCATTAGTAACAACATTCTGCCACTATCTCCCACTGAAATTAATAGCTGACTTTGCCAGAGGGAAAAAAATGCAGCACGTATCAATCTACCCATTTCTGTGGCGCCTACCACAGTCACCCAGACAAGCAGATAATACCACCAAATCTACACAGATCTGACAAAAAATATTTTTTCTTTTCTTTTCCAGTTCCCTGCTCTTCCTCTTTTTAACCAGATCATATCATATGGGTGCATTTAAATTCTAAGAGGAGAGTCAGTTGAGAAGGTTGATCTAACTTTTACTGCCTATTTCGACTATGCTCTGAAAGAAACAGAAGCGTAAATGATGAATGGATTTTTATAGCAAAGACAAACCCTAACAGCAGCTGTGTGAAAAGGAAAGGCTCAGAAGGGAGCAGCAATGGAGAGAGGCGTGAAGGAAAAGATGCTACAGGTAACCATGCAAACTCTCATAAACAAAAATTAAATTAAAAATTGAAACAAAATACATACAAACTTTTATGAAGATTACATATTAACTTCTCTCTTAGGAGTGTTTTGTATTCTTATAATGTCCAAGTTCCCCTCAGATGAAAAAAAGTTAGCCAAGGAGTAAAAATAAGTATATAAATTGGTTCACATCTAAAAATAATCTGGAACCCACTTACTTCACACCAATATTTGAACCAGTAACTTTGAAGCGATCACATATGTCTAGGTATTGTTTACTTCACAACGGACACTAGCACTGGTATCTAGCAGAAATGTTAAACTACTTGGATGTTACTGTTAACTACTGGGAGTAAAGTTTTCAACCTTTCCACTTTCAAAGTAACATTAAAAACTCATTCACTCTAAGCAATCTGGGTACTCTAAGGAAATTAATGTATTCTTGTTTTGGTTTGGTTTTTTTGTTTGTTTGTTTTTTAACAGCAACTCAAGGATCCTTTCCTCTCAACTTCTAGGAGGCCAAGCCTCAGCCTCCACTCGACAATCTTTGTTGCTAGATAAGAACAGTTCAGTAGTGCTGGGCAACAGGCAGTAGTGACAAACTCACCCGGGCTGGAAAACTTTTTCCATAGAAAGATAAGGTAAACAAGATATACTTAGCACCACACCCATTTCAAGGCACTAGCGGCCAGGAATGCTTTTTTCCCTCCTCTCTAGACCTCCAGCTGGTCAGGAAACAAAGCCTCCCCAATCAAGATAGAGATCTGGCCCAGGGTGTTCGGGCATTCCTCACCTCCGGGCTGGCCTACAGCTCCACTCTCCAATGCCACCCAAACCAGAACTGGGACATTTTGTCAGGAAGCGGGCAAACGTCCAAATACCCGACTATCCTCGTCCCACTTTTTTGCAACCAAATTCTGTTTTGGCTACCGAGCATGCTCCGACTTAAGACGGGAGCCACAGGGGAATTTTCAAAGCTTAGGCTCCAAACTCCACGTAGTAAGAGCAGCAGCTGAAAGGGGAAGAGAGGGAAAGGAGAGGGGGAGAAACTGGAATATGAATCTTGAGTACTGAGACCGGAGGGAAGGACCGGGGCAGGGGCTGAATACGATGAGGACGAACACACTGCTTGGCATTCTCCTTGCAGCTATGCAGAAGTTTTTCGAGAAGTGTAAGAAATCTCTGCGGCGGTGAAAACTGGCTCCGCAAGTGGCAGAAACCAGGTCTCACACCCAGCTGAGTGCAGCAGCAGGTCGGAACAGCCCAGAGCGTAATTCCCACCGATAAGCTTGGATCCTTATCTTTGAAATCCAAAGCCACGGCGGCAAGGACTCCTCCAGCCGCTGGACACCTTTGCAGTGCAGCTGACTAGGCTGCTCGCCCAAGCGCGGCAACGCACCGAGGGCGTGCAGGAATGGTACTCAGATGAGCCCAAACAAACGGGTCCTCTGGACCGACGCGGGCCCGGGGACGCCCCCCCACCCCGCCCCGCGGGCGTCCGAACGCCCGGTCCACTGTCCCGGGATTACGGCGACCCTAGGACCCGGACCAGCCTCCGCGCCGCCCCCGACGCAGGCAAAGCCTCAGCGACCCGACGGGCTGCCCCGTCCCCGCCCGCCCGCCCGGACCCCAGCGGCCCGGACTCGGCCTACCTCCCGCCCGCAGGCCCCAGTGGTTTCCGCTCCGTCCGCGGCCGAACGCCCCCGCCTGGACCCGAGTCCGGCCTCTAGGGCTAGAGGGCGAGCCCCGTCGGGACAGAGCCTGCAGCCCCTGCTCCCACCGGCCCGCCCCGGGCCTCGCACTCACCCTCCGGCCGGCTGAGCGCACTCCCCGGCACCGTCGCTGTGCTTCCCCTCAGTGCAACTTTATTAGCAGCTCGGCTACGGGACACGCGCACGGCGCCCGCTCGCCCAAGACCCGGATGAGGGAGGGAAGGAGAGGAGGACTTCCCCCGCCCCGGGGCATGCGCGTGCGCAGAAGCCTTGGGGTGATCGCCGCGGGCGGGTAGGCAGCGCCGCCTCGCCCGGGCAGCCGGAGGGGCCTTCACGCTGGGCTCGGCTCCGGCCGACCTGGGTTTCTGATCAGCTCCGGGCTTCTCGCCACAGTGGCTAGGCCCAGGGGTGGGGGTCGGCTAGCTCCCACGACCGCAGTACCCACGAGTCATCTCCATTAACCAAATCAGCCCACTTTATAGTAACATAATTGTCCTCGACACGGACAGTTGGAGAGTTCCTCAGTGGCCTATAAAGTGTGAATAAAGACATCATCGTCGGGTACAGCTTTGCTGCTTTTACTGACCTGTAACATAAATCTGAAGAGAGTCCTCTTTTTGTGGAAAAAGTAGCTTCAAAAAATTTCTGAAAAACGTTTAAATAACAGTTTTTATTTTAAAAATTCAGTACCGATTTTCCAATATTCTACTATAGGATTCCTTTTTAAATAAAGTAAAAAAAAAAAAAATGAAGTCGCTCTTAATCCTCTCATACCTTAACCCAATCCACCACGAGCTCCTATTAACTCTACCTTCACAATATATCCCCAATCTGACCATTTGTGCCACCTTCACTGCGGGGGCAGGGGCAGCGTCATCTCAACTGACACAGCGGACAGTTGCTACTTTGCTTCAGGCGCCTTCAGCCTTCCCCGCCGCCCTCCCCGCCCCCCGCTGTGAAGAAACGTTGCAGAAGTCCGCATTAGGGTGGCCCTGTGGAATGTGAACAGGGTAAGACCTGGCAAGGCGGGGCTCTGGGCCAGGGTGGGCACCCGAGGGGGTGCTTGTTCTGATCAAAGGGGGCAGTTGCTTTTCACTCTCCTCAACTGTCACCAGGGGGGAAATGCAGGAATAAGGACCCAGTGTTGGCAGGTCTTCCGATTTTTCAAAAACAGCTGGAAATCTGCATTTTAATGAAAAACTTTGTTTTATATGTTTAGCAACTCCTTTCATTCTTTCTCTCTGTTACACTCTCTTTCTCAGACATTCGGGAGTCCAGCCCTGTACAGGCCAAGCAAAACAAATCCATGGTCCCGATTTAGCCTGCTGGCCATCAGTTTGCAATCTCAGGTCTGCATCTTAAACCTCTTTACTACATCATAAACTTCGTGAAAGTAAAGTCTGTGTACTTTAACTCTTTGTCACACTCTCTGATTATTTGTTGTTAATTCAGAATTTTCCAGTCCTTTGGAAGGCATATATTTCTGGAGCCTGCATGGGTTTACAACTCCCAGAAGTGCCTATAACCCTGCCTTAAAGGATGCTTTTTTTTTTCCCCAGGACTGATGTTTGCAGAGTGCTTTGTTGAGTTTTATAAGACATAACAAGTTGGTTTAAATGTTTTGTTCACTAGAGTCACTTCTTACTTCAAACAGATACTAAAATCCTTCCCAAAACAAATTGCTTGCTGTCTTACAGTCCCTGCACAAATGAGATGAACAATGTGTGATTATAGGGTGTCTCTTAACAATCACATTTATAATGTCAAAGCCAACAGTTTTGCTTCCTGAACTATGTGTCCACATGCTGATCAAATCAACCAGAGACTCTACCCTCTCCAAGTTGCTATGTGGGCTCCACCTAGGTCATACATTGGAGAAGATGATGACCCAGAAGGGAGGAATGGGAACTTTAGCAGCACACCAGCTGCCCCCTCAGCCCCACCCCCAGGACTGAGCAATTATCCAGACCTTGCAGGATATGGAACAGCAGACAGAGCACTACAGATACCTACATAGTTGAAAAGACATCACACAGCAAATGAACAGGCCTGCCAGCACACGAGAACTGGAGTAAGGAAGTCCCCGTTTTGGGCAATCAACTGAGATCTAAAAACAAATGAAAAACAAGAAGATCTGAAGAGATAGATAATCTGTAGGGTATCAAAAGACACGCCTCTTTTCAGTTTGGCATTCACACGATAAAGATCAGATAAGATAAATCCTTGATTTTACTCTGCCTGTGAAGAAACTGACCTGTATCTGTGTAACGGAGGCCTGCGCTTCTCAGTCCGGGACCCCTGTGCACGTAGGTGACAAGGTGGGAAGATAGTCTTGGCCGTGGCAGCAAGGAGGGTGCTGCTCCTGGCACTTACTAAGTACACCCCACGAATGCTGCAAACTTTCTACAAGACACAGGATAGCCTCCTTCTACCAAGAATTACCCAGCCCCAAATGTCAACAGTGCTGAGGCTGAGAAACCCGGATTTAAGTCCCAAATCATTTTTCTTTAATTGGGTTAATGTTTAGGGGGGAAATGGGCCTTTTCTTTGAATTCTTCCAGTAATTGCTTTAATTACTCATTTGGTGGACACAACCAGCCTAACTGTTTAGTCCATGATCTGCCCCACCTTGAATTTTCCAGATCCAAAAAGGAGGTAATTTTCAGGAAATATGAGACATGAAAAACTGGAAGAATGAACTCAGTTTTTTCATATTTTAATTTCTTATTTTAAAATGTAGGGTAATTGAGGCAAATTGTTTTGGGTTTTAATATCCTTAATAAATATCTCAATTCTACTCTTCGCTGAAGCTCAGAAGACTTCCCAAATGACCAGTCCACACCCGGTAGAACTGGAAGCACGTGATCACATTCGGAGGGGTCACCCATTATAGAAAAATCAGTGAATACAAGCCATCAGGGAGATTCAGCCAGCAGCCACTTCCTCAGACAGTCACTGCAAGCAGACATCAGAGCAAGAAATAGATCTAAGTTTGTGCCACTTCTCCAGACAGTGTCCTGGAAACAATGAAGCTGTCTTTGCAAGTTCTGAAAATTCTATATATTCTTCAACTGCCAGACTACCCCACCCCCAGCCCTTAGTACGGAAACGGTGTAGGAACCAAAGCTAAACTGGGAAATGCTTCGAGAAGAGAGAGCCCCCCAAGGAACGCAGTGCAAAGACATAACCCACAACTCAATCTGAGAGAGAGAAACATCAGGTCACAATTTTCAAAAGAACCTCGCATTAGTTCTTAACAGAAGGAGCAAGGTCCTGGGCCAGCCAGAGGATACGCTAATGTGATTTCATCCAGTATTTGAATGGATTTTTTTTCCAGTGAAATTTGAGTGTTCTGATGTGAAATGTTTCTTTCATAACCCACAGAACCTTATTTTCACAACTCAGAAGTTGAGAATCTGACCGAGTTGAAAAAAGGAAAAGGAAAGTAAAAGAATGACAGCTGTCTCCACTGGAAGCACGGGTATCTCATGGCCACAGAGCCCTTGAAGCTTCCACCGAGATGGATAGGCGAGACTCCACGATCCCCTGGAATAAATATGCACATTTTTGTGTGTATACCTATGTACAAGTTTTCTGCAAAAAAAAGTCTATTGCTTTAGTCTGAGTCTCAAAGGGTTTCCTGACCTCCAAATGTTTGCAGATGCTTAAAGCAGTGATTACTTTATGTGTGGTGCAAATTTAATGTGTCCATTTTGAGTTATCTTCTCTTTTTTGGAGCAACATACTTGGGAGAGTCCTCTCTTGGGAAGGAAGGCTGCTTGATGGAGAGGGTAGGAACCCAGCTTGCCTATCTCTAGCCATCTGCTACATGAAAGAGGGCCTCCCGTGGCTGGGATCCAAAACACAAAATAAAAAGAGTTGCTTGCACCCAGGGTCATAAAACAAAGAGGCTTTCTAAAGCAGGGCTTGGAGTGAACACTCATTTCGTCCTGACTTAAGCAGCATCTGTTCTTCCTGATGGCAAACACTCTCCAAGTTAACTCAACTGACCTCCACAGTTCTGCATTCTCAGTTTTCATCCTCAGAGACGTAGTCTCGTAGTCTTGGAAGAGCCAAACCACATGTGCACTCTGCCACAAATCCAGAGCAGCAGGTGAAAATCAGGGAGTGCCGTGGAAGTGGGGAGAGGCGAAGGAGACAGAAACTTCACATTCTCTAGGATGCCTTTCAACTGCATAAATCTTAGTTATGAGAACTTGGAAGCCAGACTTCCTGGTGTGAACACAGACTGTCTTGCTACATGTGTGAACTTGCAGAAGCCTTCAACCAGTGTGTGCTTCAGCCTCCTCACCTGGGATATGAGGATAGCAATAGTATCGATTGAATAGAATTATTATGAGGATTAAATGAGCGTAGACTTGTTAGGCGCTCAGACCAGTGCCTAGCACGCAGTAAGTGCCACACAGATGTTTGTTTTAAAAATATGTATTTTCAATGACATGCCAGCAACTTCTAAAAATTCTTTGCAAATTCACTTGTCACACAAAATGTGTATTCATTGTATTTAAGAGTAGACCCTCTTCTCTTCCTACTTTAATAGGTGATCTTATTCATTCTCAGGCCTCTGGTGCGATCTATCACAGATAATCCCCAAATGTCTGTTTCCATTTTGGACTTGAACTTCAAGCCCTTAAACTACCCTCTTGATGTCTCTACTGGACTCCAGATTTGGGGTTTCGTCTGGATGCCATGCTCTTTTGCTTCCTTTCTCCTGCTCCCCGCATGGTGCCATCTCCCTCCTGTGTCCACCACAGCCCCAAACACTCCACTGCAGAGAGGGGCACGGGGCCCAGCAGGGCTATCATAGTCTCCATCAGCCAGGCCACTGTGATTGGCTCGTAGATGGGCATATTGACCAAGCGAGGTGACACATATCATCCCTTAGACTGATGTGTGGATATGAAAAGAAAGAAGCCTTTCTTCTTGTTGTTAGGCGAACGTGATAACCACTACACTACGGAAACCTCTATCTTCTTGGTGTTAAGGTGAGGGTGACTCCGAGGCTGCCAGGGACCATCTGCCACCATGTAGGGAACTTTGCTTGAGTATGAAGCCAAAGAGCTGATACACAGAGAAGCCCAAAATCCAGCTGTGCCCAAAGTGCTGCAGATCCTCCTTGCGCTTCCCAATGACATCATGCTATGCATTCTGATTTTGTCTAACCTAGTTTTGCTTCCATC